TTCTACATTTTCAGGTATCTTTTCAGCAATGCCTCAGTATAACTGGTACCAATTTCATGTATTAGTTGATTTTCACACTGCTAAAAAGAACTACCTGAGACTGGGTAATTTATAAAGAAAGAGGTTTAATTGACTCACAGTTCTGCATGGCTGGAGAGGCCTCAGGAGACTTACAATCATGACAGAGGGTGAAGGGGAAGCAAGGCACATCTTACATGGTGGCAGGAGAGGCGGGGGGCAACTGCCAAACACTTTAAACCATCAGATCTCATGAGAACTCACTCAATATCATGAGAACATCATGAGAGAAACTGCTCCCCTGATCCAATTACCTCCCATGAGGTCCCTCCCTCAACATGTGGGGATTATAATTCAAGATGATATTTGGGTGGGGACACAGAGCTAAACATTATCATGATGGTCAGATAACCAATCCTGAATTCCACTAGGAAGCACAGTGGAAGGATAAATGAGTTCTCATACATAGAGAACCCAATAGCAACAAAGAACTTTGTCTTGCAACAGGAAAATTTAGAACTCATTATTCAGGCACCTTAGAGATGAACTGACCTTCCTTTGGATCTCTGCGGTTATTTTAGCCTTTTGCGCTTGGTCTTACTTCATATTTTATGTAATGATTTCTATTTAGATTTTCTTTCAAAAAGTCTTCATCACATAGTTTGTATTTTCTCATTTGGTATTTGTGTATCTATTGATGCCTTAGTATGAGCAATTATGTAATAGTATGCTTCTTCTTTGCATCTTTATTCACTTCTCATCAATTTTTATTGATTATATGTTTCATTAAATAGTTAAATACATTTACATTTACTTGCATCTCTATTGTTCATCAGCTTTAAATAGTCTAGTATCTTCGGCCCTTAGCTATAAATGATGAGGAAATAAGCATATTTTTTCTCTCTCTCTTCTCCTCCCAAGTTTTATTAATTGTATCATTTGCATGTTTCTAATATTTCTTGTATTTTTTTTGTAACTATAACTCTCAGATTGTTTTAGTCTTAGTCTATCTATTAAGATTCAGGGCTCACAGAGAGTTTTTTCAATCAAGTTTTTTCATTCCTCTCTTTTTTTTGGTGAATGTCATCCTCTAGTTTACTGAAGAAGTGCTCATGAGAACTATACACCAAATGTAACTGCATGCTCCCAAAACATCTGTCTATTTGATTACACTTGAATAATAGGTTTTGCTGTATATAAATTCTTGGTTGACACTTCTTATATTAAGGGCATATAGGCATCATGCAACTATCTCTTAGCATTTACTGTTATGGTAGAGAAGTTTGAAGCCAGACTGAATTTTCCCCCTTTATGTGGGGATATCAGTTGCCAAAGCAGCATTACTACCACATCAGTGTGAAGTCAATTTTGTATTGTAGAGCTGAAACCAGGAAGTACAGTTCTGTGAATTATTTTCTCTGTATAGCTTCAGGTAAGAGTTTGCCAATGACAGGAATGCAAATGAAATAGGAAAGACATAAGAAAAGCAACCACCAGGGGTGATGGTAGGCCAGGTAAGATGGATCAATGTGAGTTTCACAGTGGCTTCTTAGTATAATACAATATAGAACTCTCAGCTTTGTTGCCACTTCTCTGCTTTACTGTGGCCACTTCCCTGACCTTCACTCCCTTAGTGTTTACAGTATTCAGGTAAACTGAATTTCCTATGTTAAACACTTTATTGCTAAAATACTTAGAGTGACTATTTTTCTGATTCAATCCAGACCGTTAAACTTCTTAATAACTGATCTTACATTTTTACTTGGATACTTTAAGATTCTTTCTTTTCCACTAACGTCCAGTAACTTACTAGGCTATGTCTACTGTCTTGACTATTTTGTGTCACTTTTTCCCGGCACATAGTGTGCACTTTCAATGTTTAGATTCAGGTATTTTTATTTCTGTGAAATTTGTTTTATTACTTAAGTATCTGTATATCTCTCTCTCTAGTTTTATTTTCTGTTCTATTCTTTTGGTTCTGTTCTTGAGGCCCTACAATTATTCACATGTTGAAACTGAGTCCCCAGTTATAGTTTTATCTGTGTATATATACACATTTATATATGTTTATTAAAATTCTTAATTTCCAACACTTATAATTCCAATTCACCACCATAAGATTCATGCTTGCTTTTTTCCTTTACATATTTGTATTCCATTTCTGACAGCAAGAAACTAGCCCCCATTATACTTAATTTTTTTTTATCAATCCCCCACTATGCTTCCAATCTCCCATCACTGTCTCTAGCTCCTAGCACACATATGTGCCCCCCTCACTCTGCTTAGACTTAGACACTCAGATTTAGCAAATAAAAACAAATGATGTCAGGTTACATTTGAATCTCAGAAAGCAATATTGTTTTACTATAAGTCTGACCAATGTAATATTTGGAGTATGTTTATGCTGAGAAATTGTCTTGTATTAATCGGCCAACTTAGGGGCTGGCCCTACGCTGGGACACCCTCCCACCCTGCTCAGACTTTGAAACCCAGCTCTGGGCTTCTGTGTGTGGCTTCCTTCCTTACCTGACTTGGGCCCTGACTTCACCCATGTCAAATCATCTTCTCCACATTAAAACTTTCCTCACCTAATTTGCACTCAGAAACCTCATGTGTGATTGCCCCTAAGTATGGATGCCCCCTTTACTGGCATAGGTTCGAAATCTCTTCTCAGCCCACTCCAATATGGACTCTTCTCCTTATTCTTCTTGGCCTCCAACAATCACTGCCAGACCATCCCTCCGGGGATGCCTTCCTCACTGGCTCAGACTCTCCCTTCTATCCCATGTTGATGCTCTCCTCACCTTGCCTGGGCACGGATGCCACATACTGAGTCATCCCTGCATGGACATTATTTTATTCTGCTCTGGCTCTGATACCCCAAACCAGACCTCATATATGGACAGTTACTTCATTCCATGAGGGATCTGACTTCCCACACATGGCCACATCTCTATGTGGACAGCATCCTCACCTTGCTTAGGTTTCCTTTCCATGCCCACTGCATCTCGTGTGGATCCTTTGTTATGCTGTTTAGGTTCTAACACATCACCTCTGGATGCCCCTCTGTGTAGATGACTACATTCCCCTGACCTGCTCAATGACTTTAGGATTGAATTTTTCAGAAAAAGAAAGACAACGAAAAGAGGAAGAACAAGAGTTTGCATCTTGATTCAACTGAAGCAACAGCAGAGATGTTAGGGTGGAATCATCCCTGAAATGGTGTTATAGTAAAACTGTCCACTAGTTTTTGTTTCTGTTTTTTCTTCAGCACAAAAATATGATATATTTGGGAGGGTGAGGTAGGAGGACCACTTGAGGCCAGGAGTTTGAGACCAGCCCAGGCAACACAACAAGATCCTGTCTCTGCAAAAAATAAAAAAAAAAATTAGCTGGGCATGGTGGCACATGCCTGCAGTCTTAGCTACTTGGGAGGCTGAGGCAGGAAGATTACCTGAGCCCAGGAATTCGATGTTACAGTGAGCTTTGATCAAGCCACTCATTCCAGCCTGTGTGACAGAAAGAAAGACCCTGTCTCTTTTCCAGAATCTACAAAGAACTTAAACAAATTTACAAGAAAAAAGCTAACAACCCCATTAAAAAGTGGGAGAAGGATATGAACAGACACTTCTCAAAAGAAGACATTTATGCATCCAACAAACATATGAAAAAAAGCTCATCATCACTGGTCATTAGAGAAACGCAAATCAAAACCACAATGAGATACCATCTTACGCCAGTTAGAATGGCAGTCATTAAAAAGTCAGGAAACCATAGATGCTGGAGAGGATGTGGAGAAATAGGAACACTTTTACACTGTTGGTGGGAGTGTAAACTAGTTCAACCACTGTGGAAGACAGTGTGGCGATTCCTCAAGGATCTTGAACCAAAAATACCATTTGACCCAGTAATCCCATTACTGGGTACATACCCAAAGAATTATAAATCATTCTACTATAAATATACCTGTGCACATATGTTTATTGTAACACTATTCACAATAGCAAAGACTTGGAACCAACCCAAATGCCTGTCAATGATAGACTGGATAAAGAAAATGTGGCATATATACACCATGGAATACTATGCAGTCATAAAAAAGGATTAGTTCATTTCCTTTTCAGGGACATGGATGAAGCTGGAAACCATCATTCTCAGCAAACTATCACAAGAACATATAACCAAACACCACATGTTCTCACTCATAAGTGGGAGTTGAACACTGAGAACACATGGACACAGGGAGAAGAACATCACACATCAGGGTCTGTCGGGGGGTCGGGGACTAGGAGAGGGATAGCATTAGGAGAAATACCTGATGTAGATGATGGGTTGATGGGTGCAGCAAACCACCATGGCACATATATACCTATGTAACAAACCTGCACGTTCTGCGCATGTACCCCAGAACTTAAAGTATAATAATTATAAAACAACATAATATGCTATTTACTTATTATCCTAATTTATCTCCTCCCATATTCCTAAGCATTGTATATTTTAGCTATAGTTATACTTTTGGAGTATATTCTTTCATGTGGAAAAACTAAAAGAAAGATGTAATCAAACATATTTTCTACTTTTTACTTTCTAAATATTTGGACATTTCAGCTTTTTGGAGGAAAAACTAAAAGAAAAGGGTATTAAATATATGCTACTTCATAAATATTTTGGAATATACTATCCTTTAAAGCAGTTATTATCAAACAGTCTGCTGTTTGGGAATAAACTGTGAAGCTTTATCAGGGTAAAACTGTTAGTTCTCATTCCTTCTTTCGGACACTCTGGTATGTCCTCAGGGGAAGGAATAGGGTTAAGATAGAACAGAAAAGGCTCTACAGTTTAGAAAAATCTAAAGATGATACTGTGTCAACCATCCTTTGATAATATAATAGTAGCATTCTGATCAAAGGAATAATATTAACATGACAATAAAAAACTAATGTTCAATCACTTATTTTTCTTGTTGTCCAATCCATTATGCATTTTTTTCATGTTTAAGTTATTTTCTTTATCTTACTGCATAGAAAATCTGTGCATTTGTCATGTCTGCCACATCGAGTACAAAATATTCCTGGTTCATAAGGTCTTCTTGTCAGCGTTCCTCTATAAACAAAAAAGCAGAAAACATTTAGTTAGAATAAGCTTCAATTTTTACATGTAATTTAAATAATATAGTTACTAATATTTAATCAGGTTAAAAACACGAGTTAAGAAACTGGATTTAAGGAAATACTTTAATTAGAGATTCAATGCTTCCCTTTTGTTCTCCACCAGGAAAGTCTTTTCTGAAACGAATTCCCATGCCCTAGAAACAAAGTATTATAATTAAATATAAGAATGGGGTTTAAAGCTTCTTTCATTTTAGTTTATAGCAAAATGTATCCTTTAAAAATGAATGATGTAGGCTGGGTGGGGTAGCTCCCTCACCTGTAAAACTGGTGCTTTGGGAGGCCAATGTAGGATAATCTCTTGAGACCACGAGTTCGAGACCAGCCTGGGTAACAGAGCAAGACCTCGTCTCTTCAAAAATATATTTTTTTAAATTAGCCAGGCATGGTGCGTGCCTGTAGTCCCAGCTAGTCAGGATACTGAGGAAGGAAGATAAGTTGAGTCCAGGAGTTTGCGGCTGCAGTGAGCTATGACTCTGCCACTGCACTGTAGCCTGGGCAACAGAGCAAGGCTTTGTCTCTACAATAAATAAATAAATAAATAAATAAATAAATAAATAAATGTCTATAGAATGTTTTATAATTAATTGCTTCCTGGTTGGCCCAAATACATAAAAGGTTTTATAAAAATGATATATTAAGTATCTATAGAGTTTACAAAATTCTGAAATGCTTATGTCCCAAAGACTCATCTGCATGAATTATTTTGGGGGTGTATATAAAAACACATAAATGTATAAAGAAGCAAATAAATATAAATGGGAATTTACAAAGTTGATTTAACCCACTGTACAGAGCTGAAGAGAGAAGTAAGAAATAATTACATCAATTGCCTAGAGCTAAATGAGAAAAAAGGCCCTAAAGTACTTTTAAATTGGGAAATTTAAATAAATGATCTAGGATAAGAAAGGTAGAGAAAACAAGCAGGGAAAAGATACTTTTGAGTGGGGGCAGTGTCATTAATTCTGGTAATTTAATCAGGATTGCCTATTTACCTGGTACATAATTTGTAGCTATAAAAACAAACATTCGTTATTTAAGTACTTGGTTAGGCCTTATTAGGCCTTCAGGAAGAATGGCCAAGCCTAAGAAATATGTGTTCAAAAACCTGAGTATCACATTTCTCAGATATATCTTATTTAATCAGAGCGTTTGAGTGATACCCAATAAGACATCTGATACCCTTGAATTGTAAGCATTCAAGTCCATCAGGAACATCCAGACGTTTGTGGTTATTTGTAGATCATATATCACTTCTTCAGTTTTACTGTTCTATTACCCAACTATTTCAAGAAAGAAAGGCATTTTGTTTAGAACCCAGCCACAGCAGAAACTCAAGAGTTGCTCTAGTCACCTTTAGCTACACCCTGGTCTATTTTTCCTGTCCTAACACTTTTTCACCAAAACAGATGCCTCCAACACAAAAGCAGACGTATTGTCTCCTAAGGTCCCAAGGACGGGAGACCTCTGTCCTTATGCCTAAGTAAAAAGCTACTCACTATAAAAACTGCCTTTGAGAACTAGAGCATAGGCCAATCACCCCAAGATCATAATGTCTGATATCTGTAGCCTGGAAAAACTGTGGAAAGGCAAATAAACAAATATAATAATGCATACATACATACGTAAAACTGAAAATAAATAAATCCACACTGTGGTAGACTACAATGAGTCCCCTCTTTCAAAGATTTGAGTTTTATAATCATTATTTCTATTAGACAGCCAGAAATGTCAGGCTAATACTCTCCCCTATGTTAATCTTCCTCTAGTTCTGAGTTTCTAAGAAAGTGAACCTAAATCAACTTAAGTCTGGATCCACGGCACACCTCCCAACTTCAACTGGAATTATTGGGCCAGATTAGGAGGAAATAATAGGTAAGTATCTATAAGCAGCAAAGTCCACTGATATTTCACAGCTGCCCTGGCAGTGCCTTAGAAAATTTACATTTTCTAAGAAGCAGACCAGTGGTTCACCAAGACCAAGTCAGGACTCTTGAACATAGTCTTCTAGAACTTTTCTTAGCCTCTATCTGGCCATAGCCTCAGTACAATGCTACCTATAGAGCATGTGTCCAGATCCTAGATAAGGACATGTTGCCTGGGTGTCTTAACAGACAAGTGTACCCACTTCCAACTCCAAGTTCATTAGAAGACAATTATTCAAAAATTGTAATAGATGCACAGTCTTTCAAAATGACAGCACAATTCTGGCAGTGGTAGAAACTTTCTTTGCCTACACTAGACTCATATCTGCCACTATCTTGTTCATCAAGGGGGTAATACAGCCCACAGCTTGACAATGTAGCAATTACAATTTGTAGGCAGGTTCTTCAAAGTTCTCCATCCAGACTCACATAGTCTGTACACTGTTCACAGAACAAGAGCCAAAGCACATGAAACAGATGTCGATTTTTCCATCTCATACAGCCAGAACAACTAGACTACTTACAACAAGTTGTTTCATTTTTCACTACTTCTTATATATCACCACAACACTGGCTTCCATTCTATTGTCTCTTCTTTTTTTTCATTTAATTTTTAAAATTATACTTTAAATTCTCAGGTATATGTGCAGAATGTGAAGATTTGTTACATAGGTATACATGTGCCATGGTGGTTTGCTGCACCCATCAACCCATCATCTTCATTAGATATTTCTCCTAATGCTATCCCTCCCCTTGCACCTCACATCCCGACAGGTCCCAGTGTGTGATGTTCCCCTCCCTGTATTCATGTGTTCTCATTGTTTAACTCCCACTTGAGAACATGTGGTGTTTGGTTTATGTTCTTGTGATAGTTTGCTGAGAATGATGGTTTCCAGCTTCATCCATGTCCCTGCAAAGGACATGAATAAGAGAGGACACGAACAAATGGAAAAACACTCCATACTCATGGATAGGAAGAATCAATATTGTGAAAATGGCCATACTGCCCAAAGCAATTTATAGATTCAATGCTATCCCCATCAAGTTACTATTGACTTTCTTCACAGAACTGGAAAAAACTACTTGAAATTTCATATAGAACCAAAAAGAGCCTGAATACCCAAGACAATCCTAAGCAAAAAGAACAAAGCTGGAGGCATCATGCTACCCGACTTCAAACTACACTATAATGGAACAGAACAGAGGCCTCAGAAATAACGCCACACATCTACAGCCATCTGATCTTTGAAAAACCTGACCAAAACAAGCAATAGGGAAAGGATTTCCCATTTAATAAATGACTTTTTCTATACTCAGATTCATACATGTTTTCCTTTATAGTTTCTGGACTTTAGTGTTCTGATAGTTCCTTATACCTTCCAAATCATAAGTAAATTCACTAATATAGCCTTCATGACTTCACTTTTTAATGTTTAAATCTTTTATCTATTAGAAATTTATTTTTTTAAGATGAGTGAAAAACTCAGTTTTACTTTTATCCAGCCAGGAGGCTCTCTCCTAATTCCAATTTAACCTAATTTAACTAGTGATTTTAAATGCCACCTTTATCATAATCACTACATATGTATTTGGATCTACTTATTGACCCTCACCTACATAACACAATAACTCTATCTATTCATATGCCCTTATTTTAGCCTTTTAACTATTGCAGCTTCATGACATATTGTGAAATCTGGTAGTTATAACTTCCCTTATCATTCATTACCTTCTTTACCTAATTATATACCAATGTTTATTTTTTCCATATAAATTGTAATGTTATCCAGTTATATCAACTTATAAAAATATTGATTAAAATTTTTAATCTGAATTGAATTAAGTGTATGGATGGATAAAGACTGAAGTGACTTCAAGGCACTGAATATTTCATCTATAAACATGGTATGTTTTTCCATTTTAAAAATTCTTCTATTAAATATTTTAGTAAACTGTAAACATTTTCTTCATATTGAGTCTGTAAATTTTTAAGATATATTTTATGTATTTATACATATTGTCTTATAGTATTTTCTAACTCATAATTTCATAGATAGGAAAGCTCTTAAGCTTTGAATATTAATTTTATAAATTGTTGATTTGCTGAATTATATTATTTTTAGTTTTTAAAATGAGGAATCTTGGGTTTCTTCAGTATTGAATAATAAGGTATCTGCTTTCATCTTTCATTTAGGCCCGTTATTTCTTTCTTGTGTCTAACTGCATTGATTTGCTTTTCTTCACTAACACTGGTATCTTGATTGATTCTTATGGAATGAATATTCTTATCTTTTTAAAACCTTAATGGCAATTCTTGTAGATATCACCACTAAATATGATGATACCTTTTAGTTTGAGGGTTGTTTGTTCTTTAAAAACACAGTTTTAATGAAAAGAAGAATTTTTCTCTAATTTTACTAAGTTTCACTTGTTAGCTTCTTTTTAAATTGGGAAGGGAAGCTGAACTTGGTTGAATTTTATGGGAGATATTTGTTGGTTTTTATCATTGTGTATTAGTTTTCTCAGGCTGCTGTAACAAAGTACCACAAGCTAGATGGCTTAAAAACAACAGAAATTTATTATCTTACAGTTCTTAAGGCAAAAAGTCCAAAATTATGGTGTCAGCAGAGTTGGTTCCTTCTGAGGGTTCCAATGGAGACTCACTCCATGCCTCTCTCTTAGCATTTGGTGATGGTCAGCAATCTTTGGTGTTCCTTGTCTTGTAGACACATCATTCCTTCTTTGCATGACATTAGCCCCATGTCTCTGTGTTTCCACATTTCCATCTTCTTATAAAGTTACTAATCATATTGGATTAGGGACCCAACCTGCTCCACTATGACCTCATCTTAACTAATTACACCCCAAATCACCCTATTTCCGGAAGTCTTAGGTGTTAGGACTTGAGTGACTATGCCACTGTGATGCTGTTTACCTTGTTACCATATTCCCTGTATTTCTGGTAGTTAGGTCTTGGGGCTTGACAAAATTCAGGTTCAATATCTGACAC